GTAAGTAAACACGACTTAAATTGGGCTAGCAAACGGGAAAGTTTTCGTGATGAATCAATGCATAGTTTACTTAATTAATCAGTGTATCTACGGCTGCAAAGAATAACAGCTACAAGACCTTACCACAGTTGCTGGAAACCACAAATTGCTACTTGATCAGACGCAAAAGGCACCTTAGCCATAAGTGAGGCGAACGTTAACAGGAAAATGCATTATTTTTGGTCGGACCAACCTGGGCTTAGCAGGGGGAGGGGGAGACACAGCTGAGTTATGTTTAATTATAATAATCAATTAGAAAATTTTAGAGAAACTTGCCTGCAACAGGCCAAACAAGGTTGTTGGTACCTCTTGAATGCAGGATTATACCTAATTGTAGACCATAAAAAAAAGTGAAAGGTTAATATAAAGTGGATATAAAGGGTCTTGGACAGAGGGAGTTTGGGTCATCAGTGCAATTCCACGTGAAATGTRGGAAGGTCTTCAAATCCAAATGTGATGCTTCTTTTCACCTCTGCACAGGTAGCCCTCGGGCTGTCTGCAGGCAGGGCTTGGGCTGTGCTGGGAGCTGCCTGATGAGTCCCACTGAACACGGCTGTGCTTATAGCACACCCTGTCACACGTGTGGGGCCTCAGAAAACTCTCGTCAGCAGATAAGAGCCCATCCTTTCACCCTTGTTGGGAGTGCCTCCCTGGCAGGCCTCAAATGTATCTCTGCTCCTCAAAGGAGCCTCCCACAAGTTAACCATCCAGCTCCTGACAAGCACTTGCTGTGCAGACCTGTGACTGAACTTGCCACTTTCTTCCCAAAGTCATGTTTCTTGTCAGAAGGCAGTTTAACTGATAACCTGAATGACAAGGGTTGGTTTGTTTGTTTGTTTGTTTGTTTGTTTTGGAGCTTGCATTAATCTGTTGGAGAAGTGGGTGTTAATCCAGGTTGCAGTGGAAGCAGCCATATATTATATGCGAATAAATTGTGTGTGTATATTCAGCTTGATGCTGCATGATGAGGTACCAACATTTTACTGTTCATGTTTGTGTGCCTCCTGGGTCTAAAAAATCATTTAGAAAGTATTTACAATAAGGCTTGGTAGAAAATCCAGTTCCTCAGAGATGAYTACGGAAACTAGGAACTGTCGTGGGCTGGGTGCCCTTTGTGTGCAATATCCTTCTGTCTCTGAGGCCAGAAAATGCAAGGACCAGTGAGAAGCAGGTAGCAGAGCTGATGGGGAAGTGCAGTAAATGCATATTCTGTTGAAGCCAGCTACATTCTCTATATTTTGGGTTCTTACGTCCTGTTAAAGCAAAGTCATTAGAGACAAAATTCCAATTCACATGTAAAATGCTTTTCGAATTTCCACATCAGTAGGAAAGCTTACACTGGTCAATGACTTCTTCCTAAAGGATCCAAGGATCCTCTGTTTCAAAACTGGCTGTTCTTCTCTCTCAACTTCCCAAACAGCTACATGTTTCTTCAAATAACAAGTTTCGTATAAAGAAAATACTTTGCCTAAAAATAAAAACTGTAGCCTCCCAGACTGTTGTTTTCCCCTCGCTTCTGATTTTGCAGGAAAAAGACCTTTTCAACTCAATATTGTTAGCAAGATCATAAAAATCATCGCTTAGCAATAGCCATTATCTTCCAAAAGGCRCATTTTCCTAATTTGTGAGGAAATTTGTGTACTCTGCAAGTGCATATGCAGAAGTTCAGTCAACTTAAATGAATCAGAAGATATTTTAACATTTTCTGTATCTTCAGTATAGAAGATAGGTAAAATTTTCTTGGAAAGTTGGAAGTTTTTTAATGGATGAACAGCAAGATGTATTGAAATACTGCTGTGACCAAAGTCAAAAATAAAGATGAGAGACAAATAGCAGGAAAGAAGTATAAAATGAGAAGTGGGATAAATAGCACTAGGCTGTGTCAAGGAAAGGTTTGCTTTTTCTTTTTAAAAATTGGAAATAAAAGTAGGAAGAGGATTATCTTAAATACCTTTCTTGAATCGCAAAAGACAAATTGGCTCATATCTAGCCCACTTGCAGACATGGTCTTTAAGTTCCATATTTGCCTCAATTACCTTTTATCTTTGGTGAGTGACAACTAAGTGAACATCAGAGCTGACTAAAGGGAGAGCCTTTTGAGCCATCTGGTGGCCACCTCTGGGATGTAGCCACTACAGCTCACTTGCTCCTTAGCTCTAAGGCACAGTTTGCTCTGAGATGACAGCATCACCCCCAAACTGYGTGAATCTGTGAGCTATGGATTGCAGAAGAGGTGTGGGGTCTTCATTGCATCTAATGGAGCACCGTGTGGGGCTGTTGGGATGTCGAGGCTGTTTACAAGACCCTGAAAACACCTATATTTATCTCATTTTATTACATCATTTGTGATGTTTCCCTGACCTATTTCCACTCTTTCTAAGGGCAAAGTGTTTTTTGTTTGTTTCCTTTTTGTTTGTTTTGGCGGATTGCATGATGGCTGTAGAGGAGCAGCATTTTGGATACAGGTGTTATTGCTTCACTTCATGATATTAATCACCAATGAAGAAGTAGCTGTCACTTYCAGCACATATAGACATGAGCTGCTGCCAGAACGGCTATGACCTGAGCAAGCTTAACYTAGCTCTCCTTGGGGTGCATGCCTCAAGAAGGGGTTGTTGAAACAGTTCCAGATGCTCCTCCTGAGAAGTCATCCCTGTTCAAGGATACTCATCTGGAAAATAAGCCATTTTCAGAGGYTTTCTTCTATGGAGTTTCAAAACTTTGATTAAACTTCTGTAGTTGTTTAATTTACGGTTATAAAGAGCCTATTTCCAATACTATTTAGTGATATCAAAATAGAGCGTGTTCATTCCCAAGGAGACTGACTATGACTGTTTCTCTTTGAACAGATGAAAGTTGTGGGGAACCTTTTATTTTAGGCTGAGATGTGCTGCTGCGAGCTGCTAATGAAACTTCTTTTTTCCCTCTCATAGGGGAGCTTCCACTCTGCAGAATGTGCAGTGCCCTAGTTTCAGGAGAATTAATGTATTGACCACATCTATCCTTTAAATTTAATGAGGAACACGATTTTTCTAAATGACAATATTCATCTTCAAACTGGATTGCAGAACRTTTTATATTGCACTTGTATCATATCCCTGGAGATGGCACAGATCTGAAAACATTGATCAAGACTGTCCTAATAGCTGCATTCAAACAACTAGAAAGATGGGACAGAAATRTAACAACCCCTTGAATGGATCAAAGCACAATCTTAAAATGGGCCCAAACTATAATGAACAGACTCTAAGCCTGTGACTCAGTGTACTCRTATTTCAGTCATTATAGGAGAGCAGCACTCTAGTGAATTAATGTGAATGTGTCATGGCATACAATACCATTGTTAATACCATCCTCACCTGCCAATTCCAGTCCCACAGAACACATCTATCACTGATATCAGCTCTTCACAGCATTGTAGGGGATCTAATTCCTGCCTCCTCCCTAGGAAACAGTAAGTGAAGGTCTACAAGGTTCATGATTTTAAAAAGTGGCCTGACAATCCTAACCACATGTCAGYGCAGAAATGAGGATGGAATTAGCTTTCTTTCCTGGGAAATAACAATTAATATTCAAGAAAGCTGTGGTAGATTAACACTGCAAGTCATGTCAGGTCACTGCCCTGCCTTCTAGCTGCAGAGTGAAAATGAACGGGCATGGACAAGTGTGTATTGAGGTCACCACCTTGGTGCAAGTTTTGCCTCTGGACGGCCTGTTAAGGCAGTTGTTAGGGCAGGGGAATTTCACACTTTAATACAGGCTGTGCAGCAGGAAGAACAGAACTTAAATATTCCGAGGTGACATTTCTTTTCAAAAGGTTCAACTATACAACATTGTACAGGGATGACAAAAAGTCAGGCTCAATTCTGACAGGCACAGAGGACTAAGATTTTAATAAATGGCACACTGAAGCCCATGTGCCTGTTTACTGCCTTCAGGGTTATGCTGATCTTCAGGGTTATCCTGATCTTCAATGTGAGAAAAGACAGGYTGACTCATTTTAGTCATACTCTTCCTTACAAGAAACAATTTTGAGCAAAGAAGTAGCACATGATTCTATTATTTGCTAAAGCTTGATATCACCCAAAGTAAAATAAAACAGGTGTGAAAGGACTTTCAGAACATCTTATTTACATCTAGCTACTGCTTATTTCAGTGGCATCTGTTTTTCCCCTTGTACTGCTCACAAGCCCTGACTCTCCATTGTTTTACTGAGGTTCAGTAAGGACGAGCTAACAGATTTTTTAAGGCTTTGACAGTATTTTCTGTTGATGGAAGGCATGCTTTTTCAGTGGGTGCATATATAATTACATATATATWTWTWTTTTATATATATATATATATATGATGAAACAGACACTATGCGGGCTGATCCGGTTGCATGCTTGTGGTTTTACAATACTTATGGACTAAATATCAAAATCCAAAGCACTCAAGTTCTCATATGTCAGGAATATGCACCAGAATTACACGTTATCTGAAGACTTTTTAAGCAACAATTAACACCTCAGATTATCAGTATCTGAGAATTTATCTTTATTTCCTGTACAGCTCTAACACATGTAATCCAACTAATTGTTGGATAGGTTTTTTTTTTATTATTATCTAAAGTCTTGCATAGTGAAGAAACACTTGTATCTGCAGTGGTTCATTTACTCCTATCTCCTCCTTAAACCTGAGGAACGCCCATTACCTGCACAGGACAGGTCACTAAGTTTTGCAGAAGATGCTGCAAACACAACAACGAAATAACAGGTCACTAACACTAAGACTGCAGCCAAATCTAGGCAAATCAAAAACAATTCAGAAACTCCATTCCCCAGACAGGAATAAAGGAATGGTAGAAACTGAGCTGCAGTTGAACTAATAAAATACATAACACATCGCCCAGGTTTTAACAACAGTTTTATTTTAGAAAGTGAACATATCCATTAAAAATGCATGGAGTTAAAAAAAATAAACATAAGACTAATGACAAATTTCTAGCAACATAAAATAGACTTACCTAGTGAGTCCCAATAATCATTAAATATACATCCGCCATAGAGGAGTTTTACTTCATTATATTACCAGTCTTTGGATTAGGTACACAAGACAACACGTTTCAGTAATTACCTAGTCATTAGAAGATCAACTTCAAGAATCACTGAATACATAATGGACAAAGAGTTTCATACCACCTTTGAGGCAACCTAATATACACATGTGACTAACGTACACATTGCTGAGGTATTACAGTACATCGGAACCGCTCCCTTTGCTTTCCAGTGAGCACGTTCTCCTGCTAGCAGCTCCACCAGCATGTCTGCCACATGCTCTGTTGTCACAGTCTCTGAATTTCAACAACTTCCTCATAAATTTTCTTTCTGTAAGAGAGGATGCCAGTCAGGTGAGTGAAATACATGAGGCAACGCAACAGATCCTGGCCGCAGGGAGGACAAAATGAAGAGTGCACCCACTCCTTCCCACTACAGCATTTTAAATTAGAAACTTCCACTCCAATAAGATTTATTCTTCCCTAGCTTCAAATATCACAATCATGGTATTTGTGAAAGTGAAAGCAAAAGAAAATAAATCGAGGAGTAAGGAAAAAAAAGGGGGAGTTTTTACACTTCTCCTTCACTGTCCTTCCAGCAGGGCAGGTGAGGAACCATTGGAGAGGTTTTCATGCTGAAACCACAGCCCTTCACACTGGATTCCACCAGAGTCACCTCGGCCCCCTGCTCAGCTGCTCTGCATCTCTTGCCCGGGTTGAGCAGCAAGACAAGATGCAAGYACTGAGGAGTACAACTGCAGGCTTTACAACAGCCTAATACTTGTCTGAGGGATTTCCTCTCATGCTCTCATTTCCTCCTAACATGCTTGTTAGGAGAGACAGACTTAGCCAAGAGATGAACTCCCAAGAAGTACCCCATCATTCAAATTCTTTGGGAAGAAGCTAAAAAAGAAAAAAATATTTTTACAAAAAATCAGGTTCTGTGAAAAGGTACTTACATGCTTTCTCCCATTTGCTATACAATTGGTTTTTCACTGTCCTGTTTTTCTTCAGATTCTTCATCTGATCCTAAATTGGAAGAAAGGAGTGTTACTAGCTAGTTTAAAGAAAAAAAAATTAAAAAGACCAACACTCATACTAGTTTATCAAAAGCCACTTATAAGCAAGCAAGCATTTCCCTTGAAAAACACTTGGCTTTTTCTTTTCAAGTACTTAATTATCTGGTTGTCAGATTTGCCACCTTGAAGGCTTGTTGAAAGTTATCTAAACCAACCAATAGCCCAAGGATCCTTCTGGAAATACCAGGCTCCTCACTGATCCACTTCACAGGTGCTTCAAGCCTTCGTTAGGACACACTSGGAACAAACTACTGCATGCTTGTTCACTAGCAAGCAGGGCTTCTTCCCTGCACTTCACAAAACGTGGTGAAAACATTTCCAAAGCAGTGAGAGAAGCTGCTCTATAATCCCTGTCTTCTCTCAGCTACACATCCAACATCCCCCTCCGCCTCTCTCTACTACTTGTCGTTGTCTTCTCCTGTCCTTGGCCTCACCTCTTTCTCTTTACACAGAGAAAGGGCTGCAAGGCCCACAGTAAAGAGATAAGCTGGTCTCAAGGCCCGTCACAATTTGATACTAAGCAAATTCAGGCGAGCACCACTGACCTGCACTTCTGGAGCCCTACTCCAAGCCACATGTGTCCCTGCCTACATCTGAGGCAGCAATCAGCCTGCAGGGAAATTCCCAGACCAGCCCGTGTGTTTCTACATACTTGTCTTGGCAGTTTCAATGAGAAGCGTTTCCCACAGGAAAATAAATGAGAAGAAAGCTCAGTCTTTGACAAAATGTCTGGAAAACTTAAATAACTGTAGAAATCAACTCTTTCCAGGCTAATATTTTAACTATTTCCATGTGGAAAAGATGACAACTTTGGAAGCACAGAAGTTCCCTGACTTGCATATTGATACAGCACAGCATTATACTCATCACTGCCTTAATCTCCTCTCATCCCTAGATGGAGCCATTTACTGTACAAAGACAATCAGGAACTACTTAAAAACAGCCACAGAAATATAGAATCCTTAAGGTTGGAAGGGAACTCAGAGATCATCCAGTCCAACCCCCCTGCTCACGCAGGGTCACCTAGAGCGCGTGGCACAGGGCTGCATCCAAGCGGGTTTTAAAGATCTCCAAAGAAGGAGACTCCACAACCTCCCTGGGCAGCCTGTGCCAGGGTTCTGTCACCCTCACTGTCAAGAAGTGTTTCCTTAAGTTCCTGTGGAACTTCCGATGCTTCAGTTTGTGGCTGTCTAGTCCTGTCGCTGGCCACCACTGACAAGAGGCCGCCCCCTCCTCCTCACTGCCTCCCTTGAGGTATTTATACACATTGATCAGGTCCCCCCTCAGCCTCCTCTTCTCCAGGCTGAACAGGCCCRGCTCCCTCAGCCTTTGCTCACAGGGCAGATGTTCCAGGCCCCTGATCATCCTCATCAAGTCTTTAAAGGTATCACCAACAGTTATGACTTTATAATGCAAGATGGCAAAGACAGCTATAAGGTGTGCGCAATATCATTTTAATTCTAGTACATGATCAGGCATAACTTTAAGAGCCACATTTTAGTATAAAGAGACTGATACGGGATTTCRGGTTCACACTTGGTCCTCAAGTCAAACTCAAATCCCCTCAACCCATTAAAAAATTTCCTATTTTCTGAAAATACAAACACATTCTTAAATCTTGCAGTGACTCAACTAAAATGCAGTGCAGTATCTACAGAGCTAAGGTATAAGTAATCTTTGTCCTCAAAACATTTAACATACACAAAGGTAACTTTTTTTCTTACAGAGAAGAAAAGAGAAGGGTACAGAGAAGGGGGCTTTGAAATTACGTGAAAGGAAGAGTCCCTGATTGAAATTTCAATTTGTTTTAAACCACAACATTCAAAAGAATAGACTTGATCTTTTGAAAAATCTTAAATAGATGAAAGCTGAATATGAACTCTAGAAGTTTTCCCTAAAAAAGCGACTTGGAGATGGCAGTGTACATCTGATGCATTTATATCGATGTTATTTATAGCAGTGTTAGGTTATTTAGAACAAGGTCTACACTATTTTTGAACTTTTAAAATGGCGTGTAGATGGTTTTCTCTATTACTCATGAGAGAAATTAACTGGAAATAGATGAAAGAAAGCAAAAGCAATCTGTTCATACATTTATTTGCCTGCTGTCTGCACTCTAGTGGCTGATCAGGTCATCTCAAAAGGACTTGGTTGGGAATTAGAGAACTGATGATGATGGCTCCATCACATTTTTTCATCACTTCTGAGGCACACAAGAAGGCCCGCTAAGTGTACTGCGATTCAGCTGATAGGCTGCAACTTAACTAGTTAAGTTTTTTAATAAAAGAATCCCTCATTATAGGACTATTAAGTACATTCCTTATTCCAAAAGGAAAACACAATTTTTCTCCCCTTTACACTTCCCTATTATACTTTAAAAGTTGAAAAGAAATTTGCACAAGTTGAATGTGAACAGGAAAAAGCATTCATTATGCAAACATAATTACCTGCTGCAGATTCAGGAGGGGAATAAAACTGCCCATCAGAGAAGACACCTGGATGAAGAAGCGCTGCTCGCTCAGAGGCATCCTGTGCTATCAAAAATCCTAAATGCAAAAAGGAAACCAGCCCATTATCCATAGTATCTTAAAGAAAAAAAAGTCACAGTAAAGATTAATGTGTTGCATTATAACAAGTTACTACTATTAAAAAYAGGTCAAAGAAAATCATTAATCTAATATCAAAATCTTCCATACAGTTTCAGTAAGCTAAGGAAAGACACTTCATCTGAACAGGGGTAGTGTATCCATGATGGAAAGAAGTTTTCCTGCCACTGCATGAAAATGTATGGTTAGGATGCCAAATGCAAATTCACTAATGTAATCTTAACTCTGAATCACATTTTTAATACTAGGTCAGCTGCCAGATGGAAGCAAACAAATGCATTTCCTCACTCTGGTTTCTCAAGTAAACTCCCCAATAACAACTTGCTTTCACTTAATCTGTCTCAGTAGCTTCAGTTTCATCTAAAAATCAAGAAAATAGAATGAGTTAAGAAAGGGCTTTGGATGGGCGTAATAGAGGAAAGAGAAAGCCAGGAGGCTGGGGGAAAGCAACTACTGGGATCAACAGGTCTCCCAGCATTTTAGGGCAATGTAGGACTATCCAACTTGTATCCTTTGTCTTCTGACACATGAAGATGGGTAGGGAGAAAAAATGATGTTTTACTGAATTAGAAGAACTACCCGAGGCAGACAGCAATTATAAAAACCTAAACTCTTTCTAACACAAACTACTGTTTCCACCTACTAACTTATCACATTAATGAGTTATGTAAGATAGCAGGCAGAAGAAACTGAAGGTTAGTGGCAAGAAAGCAAATGAAAACTGCTACAGTTAACCAAAAATCGCTAGGCATGATTACTGGACACAAATACAAACTCTTAATAACTAAGCAATACTGTAAAACCCATCATTACATGTATGAACATCCTTCTCTGTGACCTACTCACAGTGTTCAAAGGAGACTTACACCTGTTACTTAAATAGAGACCGACTTTCCTCTTTGAGAGAGAATAGGAATGTAAGTCACAAAATATTATAAGGCACACACTGGGTGGGAAAGATAGAGATGGTAAGAATAAAAGGTAGTAGTGCACTTCATCCCCTTTATAACGGTTCAGACACCCACATCTTTTTACTAAGGATTTCATCTGTTATTTAGTTGAACTGTTCCCAGCAAGAGGAAATATTTAACACTAGAAAACTTTTTCACTGGAAAGAAAGCTTTAATTTTTTTTTGGCCTTTTTTAAACAAAAACTCTCCAAAGTATGACCAGCATTTCATTAGCTAGAAAAGCTAGAAAATGGCTTTTTTGACACATTACAATAGTAAGCTGGAAAATAGTCACATTTCCTACTAAAGGGAAGAGAGACGCACACCTGCTCAAAACTGAAAAACTACTCCCTGGCTGCCTTAAAGTAACTTAACAGCAATAAAGGCACAAATCAAAGGCTCTCTATACATTTACCTTCCTGCTGTTGAAACTAGCCAGAACATCTCTAGCAGAAATCTATACTTTTTCTTCCCCACCCAAGCAATGTTCTCTTTCACTAAATCAATGAGTTTCCTCTATTTAGCTGAATGCACTCCTGTGACCTGCTGCCTCCTCTGGAAGAAGCTGAAATTCACACTTGCTCTGGTCTCATTCTGTGCAGGAAACAGCCTCTCCACAATACTTCTTCACGCTGCCTTTCTACCTCAAAAGGGAAATTAGTGACACAGAAACTACTTATTGTGTCTATTCTTCCTMGAAGAGGAGCCAGTAACAACTGGGTATGTCATTCACGAAGTAGAAAGCCCAAACCAATTAGATTTTCACAACTTTAAACATAAAATAAATAAGATAAAAAGAGAGATGATTCTAAGTGCCTGACAAATTACAGATCTGGCTCTTAGAACTTTTAACTTGGCCTAAGTAAGCTTAATCTTTTTGAAGGCATACACACTACTTTCAAGAAACAAACAAAAAACCAAATACACCATATGAATGTTTTTCCTCATTTCTGCCAAGTTCTTGRAGAACTGAAAGAAGACTCTTTTGTCATACGCTATGAGACTGAATGTAGTCAACTGCAGGGACTGATGAGGAGAACAAAAGCTTACTGTTTTCTTCTTCTGCTTCTTGTGGTAACACTTTAAAGTCCAAGAACCAGGTTTCAATCCAGGCAAGTATGAAGGATATGATGGGGAGCACATAGCCAAAAGCACCCTGTGAAAAGAGCTTGAAGGAAACAAAACCACGTATTACAGAAATTATCTTCAGGAATCCAGCTTCTGCAAGAAGCAAAAACAAACAAACATTGTATTAGAATATATACCTGTGAAATAATTACTTTTGCTAATAAAAAGGCACTGGTCACTGCTGTTGTAAACTGAAAGAGACAAGATAAGAACAGTTAAGTCTAACAACTGCATTTMCTTTCTTATTTTTACAATTATGTATCAGTTGTAGCTTTAAAAACATTTTCCAATGGCAATATCACACATCAACAGAAATAATCAGGTATAATCAAGTATTTTAAAATAAATTCTTGGACATCTCCAAATGCTTATTTCCTTTCAGCAGACACTTTAAATGCTATGCAAACACTGAACTGTATAAATTGTGATCTTTCTATATAATGAAGATGCGATATTTTATCAGCAACTCCCCTTTAAAAAAGGTATTTTTGAGAAAAATAGCTATTATTCCAAATGGTTTTCAATACAACTCATATCAAAGCAACCATTTCAAATAATAAAGCATCTTCGCATGAGAAAACCTGAATTTATATTGTAATTCCCCTCGTGCTGTGAAAATGTAACTTTTGTTGAATGCTTAATATTCCTATTTCCTGTTTGAAAAAGGTGACATGAGATTAAAAAAATAAACTCAGACCTAATATCTGTAGAAATTGCGTACACTTAAAGCAAAGCATCTAACAGCATTAGTGCCTCTGGGTCCAGCACTTCTTAAAAAAAACAAAGAAACAAACAAAAAAAAACACATATTAAGTTTCTTATTGGTAAGTGCAAATTGGGTTTTAAGCTTAGTGGCTTCTACATGACCTTCAGTGAAACTTTATATGTCCTTTACTTTCCAACACAATGGTCTCCTTTGCTTTCCAACATAACAGTGTCGAACRCAGTGGTGTCAACCTCCACCAACTCATAACCAAACTGTATCAAGTTGGAGGACATAACCGTAAGAAATATTCTAAAACTATTCAGTTATGACCAAGGGGGTTTGAGATATATGCACCTGGAAATAAATATGCCATTGCAATCAGAGCAGCAATTGAGTGTCATCCTAATAATTTTAAAAACTATAAAAAGCAATCTCATACTAATAATAAACAGATTGCATACTAGTCAGCTGGAGAAATTATACATGACATATCTACATACATGACCATAATGTAAGGAAAAACTTCCAAGATTTACAGTACACTAAGCCAGCAATATTAATTTTATATTATAGGGTGCAGTTTTAACTTTTAGGCACATACACAGATAGAAGCATGAGTTTGTCATTAAGCAGCTTGCATTCTTTCTCATACACATAGCACAGCTGCATTGAAAATATTTGTTCCACCTCACCAAAAGAAGTATTGTTGGCTATAATTCAGGATCTTCCTTTCTAAGGCATAATCTACCTTCTGCCTCAGAACAAGAAGCAATACAAGCCTACTGCATTGGCATGCAAAATTCAGAAAAGGTAAGAATTTGGGAGTTAGCACAGAACTGGCAACAACAGTACAACAGTACAACTATTTAGTACAATGACAATTCCTCTTCTTTTTGGAATACAGTTTGTTATTTCCACTGCATATGTATTTCAAACTTCAATTTAGAAGGCAAGATAGCAAGAGGTTCGGCATATGCACTGGATTCAAAACAAGCTTTCAATCTGCATTAACATAATGCTTGGTAAGGATCACACACATTGTACTACTATTCATTTTGCCTTTAAGATGGACATCTTCCAGAACAGATTTTTTTTTAATCTGCTAAATTATCACACAGTGGATTTTTACATATAGCATCAAGATGATTCTTAACATGCAAAYGCTAAGAGACATCTAAAATTTGTCTGTTTGACCCATTCTAGTTAGAACTCCATTATGCTTGGCTACTACTCACAGCTATTGCCCACCAATGGCGCAGTCTGCACATTGCATACGCAAGTATTAACACCTTAAATCGAAAGACTGCCAGTAGCTACAGAGAAAGGAAAAAAATATTTGTTGGTTAATTCAGCACACCGAACCACCACAAGATTCTCAGCTCACTGAAAATACTAACTGCTTATAGAACAACTTAAAACAAGACAAAACAAGTTCTGCTATTAAGAAACAAATGTGAAGTGGATTTGCTTATTAAGATAAAAATAGCACATGATTTCCCATTTTTAAAGCACACAGCTGATGGCATCGTTCACATGCTTACAATGCATCAACTATGCAAGCATCTGCAATTCCRCTAATGTAAGCTAGAAATGTAAAAAAAACACTTCATGAAGTATGCTCACAACCATTTTATCTAACTGAAATCTAAACAGGTCAATCTAGACAGAGCTAAACCAGCAAATAGCATAAGTGCTACTGTACATCTCACTAGTCTTTCTAGCATGCCCCTATGCATGAATATCATTATAAATAGTCAAGAATTGAAAAATACATGGGAGAATTAAAAATCTACCCATTAAAGTATGTACTGAAATCTCAACATTACAAAATATTTAATATCCTTTATGGAGATGTCTGYAGTTGTATTATTCTCTTAGTGCACCCCCAAACAAGCCCTACTTTTTCCACAGGTAAACAAGTATATAAGGGTAGCTAAGAAGGAAGMTGTTCCAAACAGTTTGCAGTGAAAGAAGGTGAACCACAGGATCTGTTCTAGGGCAAAGCACGAAACAGCAGCAACAGACACATGAGATTTCTGGATCTGGGTTCCTAGCTCTTCGTTTTTCCTTTATTCCTAGATTTTAGACTGTCTCTGACTTCTTTTAAAAGATATGCTCACACCCTATAAAACAAACAAACAAAAAACAAATGGCCAGAGGTACAATGAATCCACTTTGATACTRGACAAATATAAAAGTCTGGCCATTTGTACCAGAAAGAAAGGCATTCTGCAAATGATTTGTGAGTTCACATGGGATTTCAATGACCTAGATCCCTTCCATGGAATAAAGGTATATCACTTAGCATCAGAGGTTTTTACCCTTTGGTTCAACTACAGGCGAATAATTGCCAGTGTATCCAAATTTAACAAATAACACTTTTTGCTTCTGCAGTAACATGTGTCATACAGATATCAGCAAAATAATGAAAATCAAAGACAAAAGCGGCATAATTTACTAGCTCAAATCTTTTGTATCCAATGCCTCATTCTGTTTGACACRCTAAACAGCAGATAAAGAAACAAGTTTTGCTTGTCACAAGTCTCKCCTCATTATGAGGGATTATTTCTGTGGAGGAACAAAAGCGTCAATTTAAATAGAATGTTTTTAGAGCTGAAGGACTACTGGTCTTCTCCCCTTAATAAATTATCTCTATTTTAGACCAGTCTTTTATTCTTAAACTTTTTTTTTTTTTTTTTTTTAAATGTGTGTGTAAGACCCTCTACCAACAGGCTCCGTGAGCACCTGACAGTAAAGCATGGATGGAGAACTCCAAGACAGGTGAAATTTGGTACAATTCCTTCTGCTTTATCAAGAAAAGACCAATCATTTCACAGGACTCAAACTGGGGCACGTTTATGGAAAGAAAAAGTGGGAAATTATATTCTTGGGTTTATTTTTGTTTGTTTGCTTTGTGGTTGGGGGGAGAACACTTACAAATATATCAAAATATGAAGAAGAGTAGTCATAACTCAGGACTTCTTTCTTTAAAGTAGTCTCAATGCCTCCTTTTACCTATAAAGGAACAAAGACACATAACAGCTCTAAAACAGAATTACTAAAGCAACAATACTAGAAAGGCTAAATTAATAGTTCCCACCAACGTACAAAAAGATGATGAAATTAAGTATGGGGGACATACACTCTAAGTATAAGTATCAAAACTATTATTCTCATTTGTCTTTCTTGATTACATAAAATTTCAAAGTCAAATATTTAAGATTACTAGCTTTAATAGCAAATTGTTCAGGAAAGAAGATGGGTTTAAGTTGAGGTTCTCCTATACAAAAATCACTGAGATTCTGCACCTCAGAAAGGTTAAGACAGCTCATATGCTGATCACAGAGAAAGTCCCGAGTAGTCAAACAACAATAATCAAAACCACTAAAGTTTCTTCTTTGATGCCTCAGCACTTGAAATTTAGTTCTGTTACTGAAATCTTACTCCTTCCCTCCCACCTTTTCCTTCTTCCAGGAAGGCATATATACTGTTGATTCTAGAAAACTAAGCCAAAAATACTCTAAAAAGTAAAGCAACAGCAGCTTAAATCATTAGAACATTCCCCCACAAGTAACTAATATGCAAGTTTAGCTCTTTCCTTCACTTGAGAGGTTTTGAAACTATATCTTCCCATCTTCCTTGGAGATTTTTTGTGGACTTCATTATCACCTCTCCTGTTCAAGCTGTGCCAGTAAGAAAATAACTCAGGAAATACCGAGTCACAGAATAAGAGGAATAAAGCTTAGCTTGGAGTGGAGAAACTTCATGTTTACATTATATTCCAAAGACAATTTTTAACATTAGATTAGATAATCAGGTTAAATTTAGATATATGAAATAAGTATGTAATGTATTAGAAAACAACATCAAGAAAAAGATTTAATGTTATTTCTCTGCTATCATCCTTCTATAGAAAGGATATACCAAAGCATCACAACAACATACACTCTCCCTGTCAAACCAGTACGGCACTGATGCACTTATACTCTTCTCTCCATTATACTGTTAGTATCTCAGAGCTCTTTTCTGGGAGTATTCATCAGCTACATTCATCAAYGAGTTTATTCAGTTTTTTCAGCCCTCCCTTCATTTCACCCCACCTCTGGGTAGCTGCCAAAGATATATCAACATTTTGCCATCTTGTTTGCTCTGCCATTATCACAAACCACCATCRGTTTCCAGCACACGTAATACTAGACAATAGAACAGCAGACAGAGAAAAATGGTAACTAAATTGCTCAAATGTTTTAAGGAAGCATTTATGAGGAAACAGAAGGAAAGATGCACACAAAGTAATGTGTATGACACTGCTCCATGGCACTTTAGGTCAATTTAAAAAAGGGTTGTCTGGTCCTTTCTTCCTCCCTGATCCCAGACATGTCTGAGCCCTCTCCTAGGGACAAAACAAAGAAAAGACAAACCAAAGAATAACAGGATGCAACGCATCGGCACCATCTGATGACTGAGAATCAAGACAGCTCAGGGAATTTTGCAATATGTAGTTGTATAAGCACCTGTGCTAATGTAAAAATGGACAGAGAATCAAGGCATCCCTCATTTAGGGTTTGCTCAGACTGCCATGGAGATGCTCCCTTTAGTATTTAAATAGACAGTACAGTCAAAAACAATGCTTAAACACTATGGATAATGGATAGCCAAAGGAAAGCATATTGCTAGTATATAATGCAACTGATGCAGATTTTCATTTTCCCTACAACACYCTCAAGCTAACCATTTTGATCATTGCTCCCACCAAAATAAATTTTGGGGACTGGTAACCAATTAATAAATATTAAATATTATTAATTAAAAATTATTAAATATTAAAAATCTAGTCCTGATAGATTTATTTCAATAATATTCAGAGAAACTCCAGTGACAGTTCTGAAGTCCCATTAGGCATTTATCAGTGAAGGACAGGCATAAGGCAGTAGTATTTGAATTCCCTRGGGAGAAAACTTAGCTAAACAAAAACAACCAACCAATAATACTCCAATCCAGGTGCCAATCTTGGCTATCATACGATATGACAGCCATGATACCAAAAAATCTTTTTGTCATTTTTGCATTCCATTCCATATGACACTGTGGGAGCTAAAGTTTTGGAACAAAAAGAAAACTCCTGATGTTCCTTAGTGCTATAACATTCAAAATAAAACTTCAGGCATCAGTAATGTTTTCTATACAGAGCCTAAATTAAAGACACCAACAGAACTAATGTTTGTGACTCAGAGCAGACTTGCACAAGAGATACACAACCAGATCCTGTTCCTCTTAGTCAAATAACCTGATAAGCTGGCCTAAAATGCATCTGAACGGTAAGCTTCATAGGGTCAGATCAATAGATATGAGCTGGTTATTCTGTAAAGGAATGTTGACAARAAAAAGTTGATTCAAGATCTGTTTACAACCCAAAAAAGGGATTCCTCCTATTTTTCTTTTGTCTTTCTTAAACATCCTAAACACACACACTTCAGGCTACAGTTTAAACCTAGCTCAAGAACTAGGATATTACTCATCAACTAATAATAAACTATCCCACTGGATTCTTTTGTCTTTTTTGGGGGGGAGAGGGGCAGATTTCATGCAAAAAATAGTCTTGTGCTAGTTACAATCTAGTACACTGGTACTACTATTACTAGATTTATAGTAATAGTAGTACCAGTGAAAAACAATAGTATTTGTGGGAGTTTATATTGTTGTTCAAATCARCCCTGCCATAGACACTCTATGTTACACCAAACTCGGCTTAAAGAAAACGCACCACTGGAAAAGAAACGCTTTGGCCATTGTAAGTTCTTCCAACAATTAGTAGCGCAGTGAACGATTATCAAAGATTTTTTGAACTACTGAGAAGAAAAACCTCTTGAATCCTGTTAAAATCAACACTTCTTTCCAAGTTTAGAGTTCAATGCTTTTTGTTTACTTGCTGCCTGAAGAGATTTCCAATGGTTTCTTCAGTTAGTTAACAGAATGAGTTAGTAGATTACACGAATGACAGGATTTAATGATATGAATAAAATAAAGCACATATCCAGTGACTAAGGGTAAGTTCAGGTAAACATATATTACGATCACAGAAAAATAAAAGAAGCTGTTTTAAATAAAGACATAACAAACAACATACGTTAAAAGAACTTACTAACCATTTCTGAAATTAATTATCCAACAAATAAAGTCCAACAATACCGAAAAGACAACTCACATTTAACTCTATTATCCACAGCAAAGTTATGAATAAGAGGTCAAATGTAACAAACAAACAGAAAGTCCTTCTGACATCTGAAATGCCTTTCTTCTCTCTTCCTTCATATGACTCAATTCTGGCCACCAGCTGTGCTGGGTTGATGGAATGGACATCACGCAGGGAAGGGCAGGATTCCACACTGCTGCTGTGAGCACGTTCTGCATCATCCGGCACCCGATTCATCCTTGGTTTGCCTAGAGTTGTCTTCTTCCTGTTCCACCATCACTAGAGGGCTTATCCATGGAGGGAGAACTTCTTAAAAACAAAAACAAAAACAACAACAAAAGGACATTACTCACCAAAAATTCCACTAAGGAGCTTCATCCTCCCATATCTGTTTTTTGGGGGTTTTTTTTGTTTGTTTTGTTTTTGTTTTTTTTTTTTAATTCAGAAATCTGAAAAAAAATCTGACAGCTCAGATTATTTGACAAGTAAATTCCAAAGAATGTTTTCTAAATAAGACACTTCTCTGGTCTCTTCCTCTCTCAGAGGATTTGTGAAACAGGGATTTAATGTTCAAGGAGACATCTGGGGATGAGGGGAGCACTGTCCATATTCAGAAAGCTGCAATCGCCCTTTAGTTGAATGGACCATTAAACATTCAGAAATAGAAGGCATGATGTTCTCCATCAAGTWACCTAGACTGATTGAAGTGCTATCCATAGTAAGTTTAAAAGACCTTTTCCACATAAAGTTGGTAAAAATGGCARTATTGGTTATGAGCATATACAGCACTGTCACTGCTGAAGACATCTTAAGTCCATTAACATAACTGAATACTGTAGTAGTCATTCTTTAGGGTAAGTRCATCAACATTTGAACTACCAATAACCACAATTGCGATGACAACTCATGCTGCCATACTGGTCTCTGGGAGTCTCAGCAAAAGCTGAAGGCAATTGCATCAAGTCTCCATAGGGCTTGTAAAAATATTCTCAGGCTAGATTTCTTATAAAACTTGGACAGTTTGATACATTATTCACTATATTAGTCCACAGGGAACTTTTTGTAATTAAAGCTTCTAGGAAGTGTTGACAAACGAAATGAAGTTTTTAAGAAAACAAAGTTTCATTTTATTGATGCAAGCATTCCAGGTATAAAGCTCTATTTCCTGCAATTGAAGTCGTATCAGACAAGCTTCTGTAATGCTTAGAGCATGATTTTCTGCAACTCAAGAACCAAAACTTCATCTCTTCCTGTATGACTTTCTCTCTGAAGGGATAAAACAGACAAGACCCTTTGTAGGCGAGTCCAAGTAACCAGAGTGGTTTAATTCCAAACTGTCCAAACACATAGCAAGTCAAGGCACAAAGGGAAAAGCAGGTGGGGATCTGTAACACACCACCTGGCAAAATACGATACAGGGACATAGGGGAGATGGAAAAGCGGGGTATGGAGCGACCTGTGCGCACAGATCACAGCCCGGGGAAGGCACAGCAGCCAGCACGTTGAGTTAAAGCCACGTTCAACTTTCAGGCTGCATGTTCAAATCACCTCGAGGTGTATCAGGCAATAGTAACAGACCTGTATCAAGACAGAAGCCACTCGCCAGGCAAGTTTCTGACCAAAGGGAATACGTTATCAGAGGCAAACGAAGCTGGTATGATCACAGCACTCTGGGATCCGTCTCTGAGCTGACCATAGTTCAACACTATCAGCAGGCTACCACCACCCTGCTCCTGGTTTTAGGACTCTTCTGCCTTTGGCTTTCCAAAACCAATCCACAGAATACACCTTTCAGTTCTCGGTCATAAATTATAGGACTGGAAGAGCTGACAGGCCCCTAAAGCAGGGCCTAACCTCTTTTTCAAAACGTTTCAGCAGAGCACACGTGATTAGAGAAGTGGGAGCATAGGGCAGAGATAACCAGTTTCATCGTTAACAGAAGCAGAGAGGGCAGAGTTATTATAGCCTGTTATATTTTTTCAAGCACATCTAGAGCTCAGCATTTTCATTATATCTCCCACTCCCTCATCTGTATCCACCTTTGGTGGAAGGAGGCGTCAGAACTTGTACTTACTGGGAGTAGTCATTGCACAATCTCAGCTCTAATACAGGCTCCCTCCCTGAGGCACGTACAAATTAAGAGTTTAAAATCATTATTAGGCAAGTGGTCAAACTTCAGAAACTTCAAACTTCACTACTGAAAGGTAGGCACATTTTCTGAAAGAACATGAATGGGGAATTATTTCACATGAATTCTGAAACACCTGCTTCTTTCTGACTGTCCTTAAATATATTTTCAATCAGAAACTCTTTTATACTTCCTTCTGCACCTGTTTCAAATACCAGACAGTAAAACTTTCACCATCACATCAATCTTTTAGTTTGATAATAACCACAGATCACTTCAAATGACTGCTCAAAGCAAAGCATACCATTTAATCTATACGACTATATATGGGAGAATTTCAAAAGAACACACAAAAGAGAAGAAACAGAGCTATTTCCTAATATATTCAAGCAATTAAAGTCTGTGCTCTACATCCAAACATTTGTGTTGCTTCTTATATAAAAAGCAACAGTTCTGAAAAGTAAATAAAAACTCTGAAACACAGCTCTGCCATTTCTTTCCTTCTTCTCTTCCTATGAATAGCAATAGTACTATCTACCATCAACTTCACTAGTAACATTAGACTCGCGTCATACCTACTATAACCTTACTAGAATGCCAAAATATTTAAGAAAAAAATTCCTCCCCAAGAATCCACATTAGTATATTTATGGTATATTTTCTCCTTACTCTTCCTAACTCCAAGGAAAAATATATATATATATTTGATTAGTAACTGCATACATTCATCACTTTCACTCAACTCCTAACATCAAGAGATTTAAAAGGTTATTCTCAAAAACATACACAGATAGAAGCCGTGTTCAAATACTTTTTCCCCCCTTTGTATCTTTTGTATATGAAACGATTTGCTGTTGCTGTTTTTAAATACTTAACAATTACAGCCACAACTTGGGCTTTTGAAGAGAGAATTAGATTCTTTTCTTACTAATAGCACTAACCTGAATTTATTAAAACTCACAGGATTGTGATTGAAATCCTTCCCTTCTGTCAAACCAAGTACAGTTTAGTAATACAAGAAGAGAACTAATACTTGGTTATCAAGTTATACATAGCATCAGTAACATTATTTTCACCCATACTGATGCAAGCAGATATATATATTATTACACATTTGGAAAAAAAATACTTGGTTGGTATTACAAATTGATCTACACATTTAGAAACAGGAAGCATCTCAAGATGCTGTCCCATCTTATAAATCTGGGTATTATCTAAGCAAGAATACCCTTATAAAGTCCTTGAATTTCAAAATCATTTTTTCTGAAGACTACTTGACAACCTCCTGCTCACTGACAAGAAAAGTACACGCAAATTAAAAAGTAAATTCATACAGAATTTCAGTGACATGAAGCAGGCACATTATTGAAAAAAAAAAAGGAGAAGGGAGAGGGAGCGGGAGAGGGAGCGGGAGAGGGAGCGGGAGAGGGAGCGGGAGAGGGAGCGGGAGAGGGAGCGGGAGAGGGAGCGGGAGAGGGAGCGGGAGAGAATAAAAACTACTGATTGGAAGGGACCTCAGAAAGTGATCTAGTCCAATCTCCTGCTCAAAGTAGGACTAGCACAAGACTAGAATTAACCCTAAATCAACTGAGACTGTGTTTAACTGAGACTTCAAAACCTCTGCCAGTTTCTCTGGGTTTTCCTGTTCCAGTACTGCATTGATCTCCTACAAAAGGCAGTTTTCTTGCAGTTTAGCCCAAACCTCCCAAACTGTAATTTGCAGGGTTGCCTCTTGTTGTGCAACCTGTCCCTGTGGAAGAGAATTTGGCTTCATTAGTCCTTGCTTAAAGAAAAAATGTTTAGTCACATGTATTGGTTTTCCAGAATCCAAGCACTAGAAAGAAACCACAAAAACAACTTAAAATTGTCATGCCAAAAAAAATATAATTATTTTAAAGCTCCCATTTCAGCCTTCCCTGTACKTGAAACACTAATTAACACCTGTTGGGAGATCTTACTGACATATTTCCGATGTCCAACGATCTGCAAAGGCTTCAAGGGTAACTGAAACACATCTGCCCTTCAAAAATACCGTAGTAATCTTTAGGTTCATGAGCAGTTGCTTAATGAGTGAATTAGCRTGCAGTTTAGAACACTACTTACTCCTCAACAGGTTAGATCAGAAACACACCACCTGAAGCACTATAGATGAAACATGAAAAATATTTCATGCATCAATTTCTCAAATTAGGCATCTTATTTGCTTTCCTATTAATTACTTTACAGCACACTTGCAAATTTTTAGATTACTCTGCTTTTTTCCTCTATACACCTTTTTTATTCCAGTTAAAGTCCATCCAAACATTTTGCTTTTACTAAGCAAACTATGGTTTTTACTATGGTTAAGTAATAGACACACCACAGTACTGGACTTGTTTATTCAAAATTAAAATCTGCTCAGTGATAAAGAACAACAAAATAGTCAAATGAAAGCTGAAATAACAGTAGTTAACCTTTGGAAAGGAGATTAACGTAGGAAAGTGGCGTCATTTTAATTGAAATGTGACATTCTGAGTAACATGCAGGCTGCATTATAACAGGAAAAGACACAAAGAAAGAAATTTATGGTGTTAAAACAGTTTTAAGTCAAAATCCAATGGGTTGGCAAGACTTAAAACCTCACGTCTTCATAGCACACCAAGAGACTAGGACTCAGTGAAGCTGATCAGTCCAACATGAAGGTACTGAAGATAACTTGAGGAACTCTTAATATGACTACCTTAATACTACCACAGATAACAATTCTGTAACTGTCCACTACGGAAAACTTTCCTCAGAGAAGGAGTCTGTCTTTTGTTGTCCCTGACCTGCTCAGAACTATATTTCCTTTACATTTTTGTCTTGCTGTGCTCCCTTCCAGCTCTGTTCTCACAAAACCCCTGCAAACGATGCCTTCCTGCTTTGGCTTTATTAGAGGGTAAGTCAGCTCCACTACGATCACTTGCACATTCTACCAGTCCAACAGAGATTCTGTCTAGTTACAAAATTATTATATGGTTAGGAACTCTACAGTAGTAAGAACTCTATACAATGAATTCCTACTACCTATAGACTAAAAAAGTGTTCCAGAAACTGATGCATTCTACAGGCACAGAAATATGCTTTTTATTAAACTTGGTCCAAAAAATTCAAGAGCACAAGCACAAAACAGCATATAACTTTGCAGGAATTTGCTGGATTT